GTGGCTGTCGGAACCAGGAGATCCTGACAAGGGCTCCATATTAAGGGAATGAGCTTTTGGAAAGGCTTTTTRCTTCAGATGCAGGGAGTCTCTTGGCACTGCTGAGAGTTGGTTTGCAGAGCTGAAGAATTATTTCCGGTAAGGAACATGACCTTAACATGTGCCTCTTGCACAGCCCACCCTGCTTTGTTGGGGGCTATTGATTCCATAGAATGCTGAGCATTATTGTCATGGAAGTTATCTGAGCTCTTGAAAGACTGGGAGCTGCTCTGAGAATCAGTTTCAGCCCCAACTTGCTGGATGAAGTCCTTGAGTCAGAAGTGTGTGTTGAAGAGTTCATCCCTTCTTTCACCTTCCTGTAATTGTCCCTCTTGTGAGATATCTTGCTCTCTGAACAAGAAGTTTTGCTGCTTTGGCTGGGTGCTGTTGTAAGAGGTTTTTGGTTTTGTTTTTTTTTTAAACCTGCTTGGGAAAGAACTCTGCTTTCTCTTCTTCCTTTTTGCTTAGGTATCCGTATCCCAGATCTGAGCAAACTTGACAGCTCTTCCTTCCATCACTTTAGGTTCAGGATGGTAGTGCATGTCATCAACATTCAGGGCCCTTTGAGTCAAGACTTGTTACAGATCTCTGGAGAATTCCTCCTGCCACAGAGCTGTTTATCTGGCATACTGGCAGCACTTGCAACTCGCTGCAGATCTTTTGCAGAGCTGAGTATCTTGAAAAATTGACTTGGAAAAAAAGTCCTGAGGAAAAAAATGCAAGTGCAGGTCTTCACATTGCAGTGGGAGTTCATGTAGCTTGGCKCTAGAAAAGAGAAGCAGCATATCTGTTCCTTCCACCTTCTTCTGTAGATTTGGGCATCTGTGATGGGGCAGGCTTTGACTTTGGATGTGGGAAGGGTGAGTGTCTGTGTGCTTGTGTGCTGCCATGCTCTGAAAATACATCTGCAGCCACTGCAGCCATTGGAGTGGCTGCTTGAAGCCCTCATATCTGGACATCCCTTAACAGCACTTAGAAAAAATGGGGAGGGYATGGCTCGTTGCAGAATCACTTCCATACGGAGGAGATAAATGGTCCCTAATTAGGGAATTTTCTCCCTAAGGCATGTTGAATGCTTGGAGAAGGCTCCCTGGAATGGTAATGCCTCATGCCCAGATAAATCAGGACAGGCTGACATAAATAGCTGTTCCTCTCCTGGTGTCAGGATGGATTGCCCAGCACCAACAGCACATGGTGTTGTCAGCTGCTGCTGAGATTTCTTCTCAGCACTCCAGGGTACTGCAGCCTGTCAGAAACCTCTCATGRGGTCCACGAGATTGTTCCCTCCTGGTTACAGTGGTTTTTCTCCAGTGTCATTCCAGTGTAGCAGTGCYTGGGGGGCTGGTCAGGCTCTGAGTGAATAGCATTTCTCATGCAATTTCTGTTCAAGGTTTTGGCTCTTTGCTGATGTATGCACATAACATCTGCTTTCCCAGCCAGGCTYATGTGGAGCTGTGGTGTAAGATGTGCTTTATCCTTCTGGCTACTGAGTCACAACTTCCCTTCCTTTCTTTTCCAGGCTCAGTGTGAATCCCATTGAGATCTGAACAGAAGCACTGAAGAGAAGGTGCTCTGTTTCCCCTAACAGAGAGGGCTGCATTTCTCTGAATATCCTTTGAGATCACTTTTCTGAGATGTAAAAGCCTTTCAGCCTGCCCCCCTCAGCCTGATTTCTTGGATACTTGCCTTGAGTAGCGCTCTTCTTGCTGAGAGTTATCCTTACACAGCACTGCTGGGAGCTGCTGCCTCTAGGCATGGGGTTAGTGAGGGCTGAAGTGGCAGAAGCAATGTTTAAGTGCACAATTCTGAATTTTCCAGTTTCCYTGTGCTTTGATAGAAACTTTATTTGCTGTGCTTAGTGCTTCCCTGCAGCCCTTCTAGAGATGGAGGCCGGAAAGGGGGAGCTGGGAAGATGCACCTGCAGTTTTTTTTTTTATGCAGAAAAAAGCGGCTTAAACAAATTGTAAAGCTGTGGTTAAGCATTAACCATTAGTTATGGCTTTAATGCAGAGTAAAAGTGACTGTGATTGTAAATGACCTGTGACCTGGCATGTTGCTCCCTGTAAATTGATGACTGACTTTGTAGTTCCAAAGGGGGAGTTAAAATAGCTGGGACCAGCGGGCTTGTTGTGTGAACTTCAAAGCCAGAGTGTGCCTTGCTGGATTTTGTGGCTGAGTTGCTGCTAGTTACTGTAGTGAAGGAAACAAATCTTGGAGCAGGGTCCTGATGGGAGCATGCCATTCTCCTCTGTGCAGGAGCAGCACTGGCTTTGAGCTCCATCCAGCTCCTGCATCTGCAGAGCRCTGTGGTTCCCCTCCATTTCTCTTCTGACTGTGGAGCCATTATTCAGAAATGAAAGAGATAAACTGATCAAGCACTCCCTGAAATGGCTTTAGGATTTCAGTTTGGTTATATTTTTAATTAGCTCCACGTAAAGACTTTATTGCTTCAAAGAGCAGCCATGAGACCAAAAACCTCTTGGTCTGATCCTTTATTTTCCTGGGGCACAAGAAGCCTTGGTAGCTGTAGGCTTGTTCCCAGTTAGACACCCCAAACCACAGCTAACAGTGTGGGAGCACACAGTGATAAGCTTTGAAGTATTCCTGTTGGGAACACATGAAGGAAGTGCTGTGTGGGGATGGGATTAGACTGACAAGGAGCAGAAGGAAAGTCAGTTATGTTTTAGGAGGAGCAAGGATGCTTTAGTGTAACAATGCACAGAACAATGTAACACATCAAGGATAAGGATTTTTTTCCCCACTTGAAGCCTTTCTTTCCTTCTGGTTGATAAAACTTCCYGCTGTGAACTGGAAAAATGGTTTAAGCACTTTTCTCTATGATTCATTTTCAAATAGAAGAGATCAGCTGAAGTGTTCTCCAGCCATTTTCCTTCTTTTTGGACTTCCTCTCCCCCTTCTTCTGAAAAGTGCTGCCAGCCTGGACTGACTATGGATGTCTTGTGTGTCAGGAACCTCATACACCCACAGTTTTGGAAGGTTTGGCAGTACAAGGAGGCCTATTAAGTGAGGCTGTAACATAGGATTTGGTGAGTGTGGGTGCACCAGGATAGCAGTTCCACTAAATCCCAGTTTGTCGTRGGCTAGAAGTCTTCTTACTCCTGTGTTTCTGGCAGTCTTGAAAGTTCCTCAACTTTTTTTGTGCTTTTATTATCCCAAACTTTAAACTGGATACAGCCCTTGTGAGAGGCACATTGTGCTGAATCAGACCCATTTTTCTGGCAGGGTGGCCCTCGATCACAGGTTCTGTGTGGCTCTGAGCCCACAGAGTGACAATCCCCAGTGCCTCAGGGTCAGCAGMGGGAGATGAGTCATTGGGGTTGGGCTGGAGACTCCTGATGTTCCTCACAGCCCTAATTATCTCGTGATCCTGTGGTGCCTTTCAAGGATGTGTAATGAATGAGGTGTGGATTTTGAGTGTCATGTGATGCTTCATCTTCTCATCTTTTACCCTGTAAAGAAGCTATTTCCCTCACAATTCCTGTGCTTTTTTTTGCCTCCTGGTTAGCAGCCTGTTGCTCGATATCCTCTAAGGAATAAGCTTCCYTGTTTTGCTACCAGTTATTTAATATGCACATGCTGGATGGCCACTGCAGCTGAGCTGGCTGGGTCAGCTGTGGTGGCCTATGGATGCTGGAAGAGTATAAAAATGGGTTTGGACTCCTGGTATTCCTGAACTCAAGGGCAAGTCAGGTACTTTTAGCTGGGATCCTTTGATCCTCAGAGCTCCCGTAGGAGACAGATATTGGGTTGTTTTTGGGAAAGATTTCCAAGGATTTTCTTGGTTTTTAATTTATTTTATTTTTCCTCCTTCTGTTCATCCTGTGCATGGAGAGACAAGGCTGACATTCCAGCTGTGTTTTGGTACCTTTAGTGCTGACAAATTGGGAAAATATTTCCAGAATCAGTTTTTCTGTGTTAGTATTTGAGAGGAGCCACTTGCAGCCACCTCACAAGCAGCTGTGTGTGACCTGTGATACCAGGCACGGGGGAAGGTTCTGGGTCTGTCTGAGGYCCAGGGAGGGGAAGGTGCTGCCTCTGCAGCAGAGGGAAAGCCTGCCTGGTAGAGGCACTGAAGGAGCAGGTGAGCTTTTGGCAACAAGGTCAATGAAGCCATTAGAAGGTGAGCCAAGTCCTGATCGGTGACCCAAGAGGTTCCCYTTTGAAATTTAGAGCTGAGGAGGGAGGAATCACCACTTAAAAGCAGTCTTGGTTCCATCCAGACCAAGCTGATGCTGCATCAAGGTACTGATTTCCTTCTGATCACCCTAAAGAAGGGGAGGGATGGGTAGAGGCTGAGATGGAAAAAAGAGGTTCTGCTGGATAGGGTTTTGCTGGATTCCCTTGCTAGGGCTCCAAGACTGTCAAGGACTCAACTGCAAGTGGGAGTGATGGGGGGAGGTAATGACACCCAGAGTGCTGGGGGTGCTCTGTGATCTCTTGCTGGAACGCAGCCACATGGCCAGGCCTTCCAGTGCTCCTGTCCTGCAACAGGAAGGAGCTGGGAGCTGGGAAATAGGGGGAGAAACAGTAGAAATTTGAGATGAAGAGGAATTCCTGTGCCTCATAAAAGATTCACCTTTCTCCAAGAGGCAAAGAATAAATATCCAGGCTTGGGTTTCTCAGAACCAGGGTGGAAAAGTATAAGTGATGGGAAGCATGGATGACYCTGTGCAGGGCTTTCCCCTGAGGGGGCCTGGCTCATTTTTAGGTCTTGTTATTTAATATTCCATTTTCTCCAAGTCCTTAATGAGGAAGTTGAGTGGATTTTTAGAGGATTTCACTGTGCTCAGTCCACTTGTGCTAATGCATGGAATTCTGGATGCTTCTTTCAGGGCCATTAGAGGTGTGTGCTGGCAACCATTGATCATTTAATGCTGAAATTAAATAAACTGTACAAGTGATGGGTGGGGGACACTGACTGTTATAATTTGTCATCCTAGGACTGTTCCAGTTGTCCAGCTCTTGGAACATGGAGAGCTCAGCATCACATACAAGTTTTGGGATAASGGGCAAGACCTTATCTTTGAGAGACTGAAGTGAAGGTTCTGTGTTTATACACAACCTGATTTTCCTGAAGTTTGGTTTGTTTGCCATGTTTTGAGGCAGTTTCCAGAATAGTTAAGTCCTCCTGGAGAGAGTCCTTGTTGGAGAGAGGAAGGGATCTGTATAAATTCCTTCTCCCATGCACAGTTTGAGGAAAACTCTTCGCTGACAACCTACCTCTTGCAGATTCCAGGCTGCTTTTAGGGAATTTGTAAGTGGGAGGAGAATGCCGTGAAGTTTTCTGTTTACACAGGTTGTTCTTTAAAAAAATTATGTTTGATATTTTTGTTCTGAGAAAATAAACCAACCCAAGCACTAAAGCTGGCTGGACTCAACACCAATTTATTGTGGAGGAGTGATTAACGCCTGAAAGGAGCTGGAATTTGGAAAGGGATCTGTAGGGCTGGCTCTATTTGTGGGCAACAGGTTGTTGTGCTCTTTGTTTTGGCTGAACATTCCTGTGAATGTTGATGCTGAATTTAAAATTACTGAATAATACCAGCTTTGTCCCTGCACATAGTCCTGACTCCTCCAGCTTCCATCGAGTCGGGTTCCTTTGGAGCAAACTCCAGTGTGTGCTCAGAACACAGGGCTGTGGCTGGGATTGAATTAATGCAGGGGATTGAATAAATGCAGAGTCAAAGATGCTCTGAGGGCTGGAGCTCCTCTGCTCTGGAGCCCAGGTTGGGAGAGCTGGGGGTGCTCACCTGGAGAAGAGAAGGCTCTAGGAAGACAGAGCCCCTTCCTCTGCCTAAAGGGGCTCCAGGAGAGCTGATGAAGGACTGGGGACAAGGRATGGAGGGACAGGAGAAGGGGGAATGGCTTCCCAATGCCAGAGGGCAGGGTTGGATGGGTTATGGGAAGAAATTCTCCCTGTGACGGTAGTGAGGTCGTGATACAGGTTGCCCAGAGAAACTGTGGCTACCCCATCCCTGGAAGTGTTCCAGGGCAGGTTGGACAGGCTTGGAGCACCCTGGGATAGTGGAAAGTGTCTCTGCCCATGGCAGGGGCTGGGACAAGTTGATCTTTCAGGTCCTTCCCAACCCAAACTATTCCATGGTCCTGTGAATACCACAGCTATACCAGCCAGGGCTTCCCAGCTGTTCACATGTCACAGGTGGCCTTGTCTGTACATCTTCTTGCCCTTGCTCTTTCCCAGAAGGRTCTAAAACTGTCTCCCCAGTCAGTCCCAGTTGGTCTGGCACAAAGAGGGTAATTGTAGAAGCACGAAATACCCTGAGCCAGAAGGGACCCACTAGGGTTGGGTTATCCAGTCGGGCTCCTGCTGGAGGCRAGGATGTTCCTGAGCCCTTTCCTGGCCCGACACTAGATGGCAATGCCTCCTTCYCGATGGTGTTTGGGATTCCTTTCTGATGGCCTCTAAATCTGGGTAATTGGTCTTTTGTGCACAAACTTCGTGRTAACTCTGATGGGAGTTGATGCCTCTTTCCTACAAGAAGCAGAGAACTTTATGTTTCCTGGGATAGGATAGTTCTGAAGACATTAACAGGCAAGTTTTCCAGAAGGGGACAGCTGTGCCTGCCTGGAGTTCCCTGACAGGGGCTGTGCTGGCACTTCTCTGCCAGCCCTTGGGTCAAATGACCATGGGCAGCTGGATCCATGAGTGGAAACTTGGCACATCCCTGTTCACTAGTGACCTTGGAATGGCAGGATCTCCTGGACCCCAAACTGTGGGGACARAGCCCATGGAGGAAGGTGTTTCATGTGCTAAATCTGAAGTGTAGGAGTGATGTGGGTGCTGTGGCACAGTGAAGAGCTTTCCAGGCTTCTGGAAGGTCCACTCCTGTCCTGCCAGCAGCTCACACTGCAGGAAGAGCAGCCACCCTTCCCTGTCACCCAGGTTATGCCAGTTACTTGTACCTTACTCAGAGTCCTTCTGCAGRGTGACAGGCAGTTTGTTGCTTTTGGAGACTTCCCATGGTGAATTAGACTGTGCTGAGGTGCATTTTTCCATTTTTCTTCACCAAATTATGGCCAAAAGTTACTTTCCTGAGCTTTGTTGTTGTTAAAGGAAGAAATAAAATCTTTCAGCCTCTGGGCAAAATCAGAGGTGTGTTTGGATCCTGACTTGGCATTAAAGCAGAAATACATGTCCTTGAACAAAAGAGACAAAAATCTCCACAKAGAACCTTCAGGCAGGTAGTCAAAAAACACAGGCTTGGAGAAAAGTTTTCAACTGGAATTTTTAATTTTGGCCAAAATACCTCCCTCTCCCCCCTCTATGAAATAGTTTTTGACAAACATCTACAGTGTGTTCCCTGGAGAAGCTGTTCCGAAGGTTGGTCCCAGCTCAGTAGTAGTCYTGTATTTCCAATTTGGGTTTATCAAATGTCAACCTGCAACTCCACAGCTGTGCTGGGTTTGCTCAATTCCAGGATTATCTGATCTCGAGTGAAGTTATCCTAGCATGGCTGTTTACCCAAACCTGAGATGTGTACCCTCAAACCATCAGTCCAGCTCCTCCTTGGGCTGCAAAGGTAAAGCCTCTGTGAAGTGTGAATCACAACCCCAGTGTGTCACCTGAGTGTCTCCCATCCTGCTGTCCCCACCTACRCACCACTGATCCCCAAGAACACAGTAAGGGCAGTGAGATCCCACTCCATGYCTGTTCCCTCCACTGGCAGCTGGTGCAGAAACCCTTGAGCCAGCCCAGGAGAGGGTTGGTGGATGTCCTTTTGCCTCCCTGGGTGGGGGCTGTGTTCTGCCACGGACAAGGGGGGACTGAAACCACTGACAGGTAACCAAAACATGTGGGATGGCAGTGCTAAACTGAGCTGAGACATCCAGGGCACATGAAATAGGGATGCTGGAAGGTKCTCCAGGTGGTGGGACCTCCTGTTACGATGCAGGCTCATCACAAATCTCTTCCAAGGTACAAAGGGCTGTAGTAGGAGATGCAGCAACTCTCCAAACCTTCCTGGCATGCATGGTGATGCTGGTCCCATCAGCTCAGCCTGGGTGAGTGCTCAGCACCCTCCCCTGGGCCAGGAGCATTCCTGCTGATSCCAGCAGCTTGGGGGCTCAGGCACCCACCATCCTCCCTGTGCTGCTGACAGGGCAGAGGGATGGCAGAACTGGTGGCTGTGGGCAGGGATTGAGGACCCCCTTGGCACTGGATCCCCTGGGTTGGGATAGGGACAGAGGACTCTCTGGGGGTTCTGGAGCCCCTAGAGTCACTGGGCACCCTGTTCTTCTGGGTTGGGAAGGAGCCAAGAACTCCCATGGCACTGGAGCCACTGGGYTGGGACAAGGACCAAGGACCCTCATGGCACTGGAGTCCCTCACCTCATTGGGCACTCTATTGCCCAGATCAGAGCAAGAGACTCACACCTTTTRTTGCAATGGCTGGCTCTGAAAGTTGTGGAAGTGGAAACCCCTCTGTGCTGCCAGCCCCGGCCAAGCCCAACTGGGCACGGAAAGCGCCGGCTCCGTGCTCTGCTCCTGGCCCCTCGTTTGTGTTGGCACAGGCTAGCGAGCCAAGCCAGTTTAATTGGCAGTTGTGTTTGTGGCCAGGGTGTTATGAAAAGGTTTTCTGTCTCCCTCTGTAAGTTCCCCTGAATATGTTTTCACTTTTAATATAATATTCACTTCATTATTAGCTGAAAGAGGCTCTTTTCAGAGAAGAGTTTTTTTTTCCCTCTTCTTCCAAAAATACATTAAATCGCCCCTTCATGCAGTGCTGCACTGAGGGCTGGGATTGTCTGCTGAACGGGAAGTGAGAAACCCGACAGTAAATGGGATTTACACAGAAATTCCTTTCTTCCCTGGCATGCCKGCAGTACTGGCTGGGTGATAGAGGAGGCTGCTGTTGCTTATGGGGTGGTTGGGGGTACCTCACCTCCGCTGCAGTGTGGCCAGCAAGGAGATCCCCTCCAAGCACAGCAGATGCTCCCAGGAGCTCCCAGTGCCCTGAGCTGATGTTTCCAGATGCAAACCCCTCCAGCCGAGTTGGGACCTGGCCACAGGGATTCCCATGTGCCCCCATTCAAGGCTGAAAGTGTTTCCAGCATCTGCCACGTTTTTGGATCTTGTTCTCTCTYGGGTGGGTTTGAGGGTGCAGCTGGACCCCCACACTACCATCTTGTGCTGCTGCTCTTCAGGACTTTGCAGTTTCCATAAGGTTTTTTCCTCCATCTTTGGGAAAATCYCTGTGAGCTGCAGGAGCAGTGAGGGTGGTATCACAGAGCATCCAGGCTGGCTCAGCCTTTGGGGTCCAGGGGAAACAGCTCTCCTTCCCTCTTGCCTGAGTTCCTTGAAGGGCACCTACAACCCAGACAAGCTCTGGGTTTAGTTSCTTGTCATATTCAGGTGGTTTTTGGAGGTCCATGCAGCCCCTGGTGCCCTCACTCAATGTCTTTAGCCCAGCCCAGCTGGGATATCCCAGGCTGGGGTTGCCTGTGGGGTTGTGCCATCCCAGCCCTGGCTCCAGGAATGGGGATGCCCTAAGATAGCCAGTAATAGCAGGGAAAAGGGGAGGGCAGGGCACCAGCCAGGGCAAAAGGGTCCTGTGGGCTGGCCCTTGCACTACTGCTGAGGGGCACTGGGATCCCTGGGGACCCCCACATCCCTGCTCCATCCCTGGAGGAGCTGCTATGAAAGCTCTGGGGAGCCCAAAGCACATTTTCCTTTCCCTGAAAGCAACATAGACACAAATCTCCCCTCTCGGGGCATATGCCAGCAGCAGGAGCCTTTCCCAGCTCCACTGCCCCCATTCCCAGCCATCCTTTGAAACTCATTAGGACTGGTACCAGGTGCTGATGAATATCCAAGATATTTCCTTAAGTGGGAGCAATTGGCATTTGTTTCAGTGTACCTCTGTTGGCTGTGGCTCYGAGGCTGACAGAAGCATTCCCATGGGAGCAGGGCCCAAGGGAGCTCCCTGGGGTGAGGCAGCTCCCAGGTAAGGGTGCTCTTGGAAGGGTCCATCTTATGCACCCTCAGCCCCTCACCTGGTCCTGATATTGTCAAGGAAATGGGAGCTCCCTGATGTTCCTGTACTTCTTTTACCAGGTTTTGGGGAAAAAAATAATCAGATCTGAGCCGTTTTCTCCAGGGTCTTGCTGGTTTGTTCCCCTCTTCCCATGCAYGTCTTGCGAGCAGTGTATCCCAGTGCTTCCCCTGCCTCTCCCACAGTACAGAGCATCCTCTTGTATAAAGCCAGACAGGAATTGTGCCTGACAGCTGTGGGAGGAATTCCGGAGAAGGTAGTAGAGAAGGCTGTGGAGTTATGTGGGCAAAAGGAGACTTCAGACTTTGCACATAGGTCTAAAAACTGAGGGTGCAACCCT